TTCGCTTTGAAACCTGTAGTTTCTATACTTTTTTCAAAGAGCAAAAATCAGAGAAAAAAAATGAGAGTCCGCTGCCTACTATGCTCCTATTGAAGTTTAACAACACCCAGTGCAGCCGTCCCACTAACGCTACAGCGCTGGGCGGACCCAACAGGGGAAATGGGTTAGTGGGGTTTTCCGGGCTTCGACCATTATTATACACCTGAAAGTTAGTTGTAACTGAAATAGAGACCTGGACCTGGTTTTGCATAGCCCTAAGCTAAGAATGCCTTTTTTAAAATACGTTATTTTTTTAATTGATTTCAGAGAGGAAGGGAGAGGGAGATGGAAACATCAGTGATGAGAGAGAATCATGGATCGGCTGCCTCCGGCACACCCGACACTGGGGATGGAGCTCACAACCCGGGCATGTGCCCTTGACTGGGAATTGAACTCAGGACCTCTTGGTCCATAGGATGACGCTCAATCCACTGAGCCACACCAGCCGGGCTGTCCAAATTGTCCTTAAACTTCCATGCTTAAGTTGTCCCATTGGCAGGGGTGTGAGCAAATGATTGTGGGACACAAGATGTCCTTTTACTCCTTGAGTCAGCCAAAACGTACATGCGCGCACACACGTATATATGTATGCATGTATGTATGCATGCGTGGCTGTATTTGCTGCCGATTCAGACTTGTGAACAGGGAATGGGAGAAAGCATGGGCACAAAAGCAGATCAAAGGATGTGTGGCTTCCTCTCTGTTAACACTTTCTAGGACAATCACATTTCCTTGGGATTGTCCACTAGACACGATCTGAGGGGCATCTGAGCACACATACCTGGGACCATCTGAAAACAAAACATAAACCTGCTTTAAAATCTGTGCAGCCAGCCGGTTCAATCCGCAGTCTTTCAGGGAAATGCCACCCAAAGGCTGTGCTGCGTGATGGGTGGGGCGGAGGGGGATGTCCGGGGTGACCACCAGGAGCAGGGTGGGTGCAGAGACCACAGCCTCTAGCTCAGCTGGTCCTCACTTGCAGGCAGTGAGCAAACCACATGTTGGTGAAACACCCCATTCTTCAAGGTGGCACCAGGCTTGTGAACGTCCATGGGTCAACGCAAGTCCCAAAGCCACGCCCAGAGCCAGTGTGGGTGGGAGGGGGAGGGGGGTTGCACAAGGACCTGACCCCTGGGACCCCCGGGGGATGAATTGGGGAAAGGAAGGCTCAGGCTGCAGGGGCTGGTGCGGCCCATGATTCACGCCCGTCGAGGATAAACAGAGGTGGATCTTCTGTGTTATCTTGTCCACGGAAAAGCCAGGACGTCTGGTGGTGTACTCGTCACCTGTATTATCTTCAGGAGGGAATGACTCTGACCATGGTTGACACCATAGGTCGCCTCAACGCTCTGTGGCATCTCACTTCTCTGGGGAGAAAGCACATGAAAACGAGTGAAGATTGGCAGCTCGCCAGGCACGCGCAGACAGCTGGATGACGTCGTAGAGTGTGGATGCTTCCACTGTTCCCATCTGCTCCCCATTCCAGCAACAGGGGCGGAGTTCTGCTATCTTTGGGCGAATGCAGTGATTTAGAGCACAGAGTATATAAAACCCTTTAGCCCTAACCGGTTTGGCTCAGTGGGTAGAGCGTTGGCCTGCGGACTCAAGGGTCCCGGGTTCGATTCCGGTCAAAGGCATGCACCTTGGTTGCGGGCACATCCCCCACTAGGGAATGTGCAGGAGGCAGCTGATCGATGTTTCTCCCTCATCGATGTTTCTGACTCTCTATCCCTGTCCCTTCCTCTCTGTAAAAAATCAATAAAATATATTTTAAAAAATAAAAATAAAACCCTTTTAAACACCTTCTTCGACAACCATCTCCATCGTCAGCGTGATTATCAGGCATCTATGCTCCGCAAAACTGGAACTAGTCTTAACCACCTGGTAAGGGCCCAGTTCCCAAAGCCATGGAATTGGCTTACAGAACAGGCTACTCGGAGACCCACTCCCGCCCTACTGGCATTTTCATGGGTGGCTGTGCCCCCAATGAGACTCTGATTTTGACCGTCTGTTGCTGTCCTTCTTGCCTTGCCCTGTCGTCACCGTGGAGACAGAAGCTTGCCTTTCTCTTGCACATGCGCCTGGTCATATGCCCACATGCAGGACCTCAAGGAGAGCAATTGCTCTCGGGCAATGCCCTTGGGGATGCCGTGTGGCCCACAGCGCGGGGGGTGGGGGGGACCCCCAGAATGAACTCCAGGCTTCCCGGGATCTGGTCCTGCCTTTGCCACTGACCTCTCACCAGTTAGAGGACGAGTCCCATTTCTTTGGGCTTTTCATTTCTTCCACCTCCCGAGGACCTGAGGCTGTGAAAACCTCCATTGGGCCTTTTCTCTTCCATCTCAAGATCCGCCCACTTCTTTTCAGCTTTGATCTCCACAGACCGAGGCGGCGTCGCCCTCAGCAAAACCAACAGCAAGGCCAGAAATGAGTGGTTCTCACCCACGCCCAGGACAGGACGTTTCTGCACAGACGCGGCAGGAGACACGTGCAGCGCGCAGGCCCATCCCAGGTCTATGTGAAGTGTCTCCAGGGAGACGGACAATCTCCCACTTTCTCCCGCGGGAGCAGTTCAGCGAGTGGTCTTGTCATTCATCGAAACGGGTTAAAGAGCCCTGACCGGTGTGGCTCAGTGGATAGAGCGCTGGCCTGCGGACTCAAGGGTCCCAGGTTCGATTCCGGCCAAGGGCATGTACCTTGGTTGTGGGCACATCCCCAGTGGGGGGTGTGCAGGAGGCAGCTGATCGATGTTTCTCTCTCATCAATGTTTCTAACTCTCTATCCTTCTCCCTTCCTCTCTGTAAAAAAAAAAAAAAAATCAAAAAATATATATTTTTTTAAAAACCATAAAACGGTAAAAGAGCCCTAGCACAAACCTCAGTTGCAGGTTCCCCGGGCCTGCCCAGGTGTGTGCAGGAGGCTACCAATCGATGTGCCTCTCTCAGATCCCTGTTTCTCTCTGCCTCTTCCTCTCCCTTCCAGTCTGTCTATAAGTCAGTGGAAAGATATATCCTCAAGTGAGAATTAACCAAACAAAAAAAGAAAGAAAAGAAAAGAAAGGGGGAGGGGGAGATTCCAATAGTACAAAACAGAGAAAATAGTGGAGTGGATGAGAGTGAGCGTTTGCCATGCGACGTCGGTGGTTGTATTATGCAACCTCTGTCGGAAACTCGGTGCCTGGAGCCTTGCCCTTCGAGAACTTACTCCGCCGCTCACAGAGAGCCCGCTGGAGATAAGCATGTTCCGTCTCACATGTGCCCTCCCTGAAACTTCCCAAGCTCATTCGTCTCTCCCGGGGAGACAGCGTTATCTCGGATCGCGGCAATAACAATTAACTTCTTAACAATTAACCTTGCCACAGTTTAAACAGGATCACGATACCGTCAACTGACAAAGACATGTCAGTCCCCCCGGGCGCTTAGGAACTGGGGGACCTTGATCCCCAACGCCCCACGTGGGGCACAGATTCTGCCGACCGCACGATCGGATGCGTAACAGACGTTGGAAAGCTGTCGCCCTGCGTGTGACTGCTGAGGAGCCGGGCGGAGAGGATGAGTCATTGGACAAAAAGCCGGGCGTGGACACGACCGTTAGCAACGGCTCGTTTTCATATTTTCTAAATCACAAGGTGAATATAGGCTCATGGTCAGACTATGGAAAGCCCGGCCGGTGTGGCTCAGTGGTTGAGCGTCGACCTAGGAACCAGGAGGTCTCGGTTCGATTCCCGGTCAAGGGCACATGCCCGGGTTGTGGGTTCCATCCCCAGTGTGGGGCGTGCAGGAGGTGGGTGATCCATGATTCTCTCTCATCATGGATGTTTCTCTCCCTCTCCCTCTCCCTTCCTCTCTGAAATCAATACAAATATATTTAAAAGAGAGAGAGAGAGAGATGGAACTTGTCAGTTGTAACTCTAACAGGCATTTATCTAACTCCAAACACTACGATCTGTTCTTGAGAGACGTGAGCACCGCGTGGCTGTCCTCCTGCTCTCTCAGCTGGTTTCCATGAAGCCCTTTCCCCTCACCTCTACTCTACTCTCAAGGAAACCCGCGCCTCTGAGTGGCTCGCGGACGCACTTGTGCCTTCGATGAATCAGCGGCTGGGCCGGGCGCCAAGTTCGCGTTTGCAAAGGGCCTTGTTGCATCTGCTGGGCTGCATCAGGGCCTGCGGGGCGGCCAGCCGCGTGCACACGCGTGTCCTCGCTGCGTCCTGGGAGAGAGCTGCCAGGGGTCACTCTCCCATCACTGTCACTATGTTCTCGGTCCCCCAAATGCGGCCGCTGGTGGGGATTTCTGTCTCGAGAGGAAGTCGTTGAGTGGGCTCTTTGTCACAGGGATGCATGCGCTTCTACATCGAATATGGTAAAAGGGGAGAAGGCATTGATTGGGTCATAGCCTGACCAGTGCCTGGGGGGCGGGGGCGGGAGATGGGGGGAGCAAGGATTGTCCTGTGTCTTCTTCCCGGGACTGTAGACTTGGGTTCAGTCTGCTACCTCCTCTCCCAAAAAACTGTGATTTTCATGAATTACTGTTTAGGTCACAGCCATATGCTCCTTCGCAGAGATTTTTATAGCCTCTGTGCAGTCCTCGGTGTGTGTGTGTGTGTGTGTGTCTGTGTGTGTTCAAATATTTTTTTTTTATTGATCTCAGAGAGGAAGGGAGAGGGACAGAGAGAGAGAAACATCCATGATGAGAGAGGATCACGGATCAGCTGCCTCCTGCACGCCCCCCACGACTGGGGATCGAGCCCACTACCCAGGCATGTGCCCCTTGACCAGAATCGAACTCGGGACCCCTCCGGCTGGC